AAGAACAACAGGAAAAGCCCCCAAGCCAACCCTGAGAGGTTAGAAAAGGGGAGCCGGGTCTTACCCCTGTAATAGGCAAACTGCAGGTAGTCGTAGTGGAGCGGCAGGAAGTTCTCGATGGGCGAGATGCGCCCGGGTCGGGTGGCCAGGTCTCGGACACAATCCTGTTTGCAAGCCAGGACCTGCAAGTAGTGTTCTGCAGGGGAGAAAGGACAACGAGGGGCTCTGAGATCACAACACTGATGGTCAAGCCCTGAAGGAACCAGCCGCCCACCCCTGGCTTTAGGGAGACAATATTCCCCATGACGTGACATGGAAACTCAAGAGAAACAGATGCACGGCCCTATTGTGTGCGGTGCTGAGTGTGCAGCTTCTCTTTGGAGAGGCTCAGCAGCTGCAGGACCCAGGCTTTCTGTGCACAGTGCCAGGTCCCCATCGTCCTCCCTTGCAACAACCATAGTAATGGGCTCATTCACTATCCTGCTTGCATTCGCACGCTTTCCAGGCACCATTCATAGAATCACAGAAAATGAGGGTTGAAGGGATCTCAGGAGATTGCATCCAGTCCAACGCCCTGCTCCAAGCAGGACCAGCGCCAACTACAGCATCCCAGCCAAAGCTTGGTCTACCTGGGTCTTCAAAACCTCCAAGGATGGAGATTGCAACCCCTCTCTGGGTGACCTGTTCCAGTGCTTCACCACCCTCCTAGTGAAAAAATTCTTCCTAATATCCAACCTCAACTTCCCTTGTTGCAGCTTGAGCCCATTGCTCCTTCTGTCATCTGCCCCCACTGAGACCAGCCCAGCTCCATCCTCTTTGCAGCCCCCCTGCAGGGAGGTGAAGGCTGCTATTCATCCCCCTCGGTCTTCTCTTCTGCACACTAAATAATGCTAATTCTTTCAGCCTTTCCTCATCCGTCTTGTCCCCCAGGCTCCTGATTATGAATGCAAAACCCCTCCGGAGAGGGAGCTCACTCAAGTTGTTAGATCCCAAGAGCCAAAGCAGAGCAAAGGGACATCAGTTCAAATGCACCACAGAGCCATGAAGGGCCCCGGACTCATCCAGTCCATCAGGAAAGGGCTAGAGAAGAGGCAGCTCTCTACTACATATCATCCCGGGGCCTGTTCAACCCACTCATCATTGCTCCTGCACGTCCCTTCGGAGACTTATGCACCAGCACAGGAAGCATCAGGCAGTTCGGGCTCAATTCCAGCCTTTTTTTCTTTGCTCAGCTCCAGCCCATGACATTGATTTGTTCACAGCCTGCTTTAGCCCTAGGTCTTTCCCTCTTTTTTCCCCCTTAAGAGGGGGAAAATAGAAGATTAAAACAAAATAAAATTATAAAGGGGCCTCTTCAGGTCCTTTCCAGCCCTGCTTTCCTATGATCCCACAATCCCCTTTGCAGCCATGTAACTGCTAACATCGGGTTCACGCTGCATCCGTGACGTGCTGGGATTAACAAGGTAGCAAGCCAGGCTGGGAAGTTAAATGCAAGCATTCAAGCCCCTCATAGAGGCATATGCAGCAGTGGTGGAAAGGCTGTGGGCAGAGCACCTATGCTAATTGCTCCTTAATGAGGACGAATCTCTCGGGTGAGTAAAAATGAATGGCAAACATCTGCTTCAACAAGCTTTCTAATGGGTGGGAGTAGACAGTGTGTGCGTTGTGTCAGCTGCGGCGCTCCGAAGCCAAGGCCGACATCTGATTCCAGTTTGGGGCCCTTGCTGCAATGTACTTACAAGTCGACTCTGCTCGCTGTATACCGCCAGCGTCTTTAAGGAACAAACATGGGCTTGAAACAAAAACATGTGCTCTGCTACCAGAGAGCTTCCCAGAGCTGCCAAGAGCTGGCCCCTGAACTACATAGGGCAAGCCAGAGGAAACACGGGGCGGTCCCGGCTCCCCCCCGGGGCTTCCCAGAGCTGTTGGAGCAGGCGACCGGCTCTCCGCACGCGCGCGGCGTAATAGACGGGAGAGAGAGGCGCAGAGCAAGGATGCGGCTCAGTGGCAAACCCGGGCCGGCATCCTGCATCTGAAACGCACCACCCAAACCGAACTGTGGATATCCCTGGTACCTTATGAGCTGGGATCCTGGTTTGCTGGGATTTAAGAAAAATCCCCAATTTTCACATTCCCCAAATCCACATTTTTCTGTGATTTAAGTGAAATACCACTAATATATACAACACACACATATACACACACATATATATATACACATACACACACATATATATACCCATACACACATATATACACACACATACACATACATATACACATACACACACACACACACATATATACACACACATACACATACATATACACATACACACACACACATATATACACATACACACACATATATATATACACATACACACACATATATATACCCATACACACATATATACACACACATACACATACATATACACATACACACACACACACACATATATACACATACACACATATATACACACACATACACATACATATACACATACACACACACACATATATACACATACACACATATATATATACACATATACACACACACATATATATATATACACCTATACATATACACACACACATACACACACACACACACACACATATATACACCTATACATATACATACACACACACACACACACACACACACACATACACCTATACATATACACACACACACACACACACACACATATATATATATACATACACACACACACACACACATACAGCAGTGTTTCACACAGATTCACAAAAGTGTAGAGCTGGAAGGGACCTCGCGAGATCATCGGGTCCAGTCCCCCCCCTGCTCTGGGCAGGATCATGGAAAAATGTGGATTTGGGATTACTTTTTTTAACCGAAAATTGGGGATGCTTTTAAATCAGGGAAAACCAGGATGCCTGCTTATGAGCATGGAGCGAAACCACACTAAGTCTTTGCAGGCTATCTGCAAAGGAGTCACTTCACCCATCGCTGAAATGCAGCCAGCTCTGGGGGAAGTGTCTCCCTATGCCTGAAGAAGGGGGCTTGTGCCCGAAAGCTTGCAAATAACTTTGTTTCACCTACTGATAAAAGATATCACATCTGCCCAAAGAAGCTTGCTTGCCTATGTCCTTCGACCAACACGGGTGCAACCAAAAACCCTGCTGCATGTCACAGCATTACCAAATGCTGCTTTACTGAATAACTCAGCATTACTGAAGAGCTCAGGATAGGAGATGGAGCTCTAGGGAGCTGCCCCTCACAACTCTGAGAGTAGCCAAGACACATCTGGACTCCTCTTTTCTCTCTCATGCCCCACAGCTTCGACCAAGCCTGTTTCTGCAGGTGCACTGGTAATGGGCTGAAACCCCTTTCACCGCTTGGCCACAGACTTATATCAAGCCACGAGGACTGGGGGCTGTGGGGTGGCCTCCGTGAAGCGAGTGCCAGCAGTGCTCTGCCTGGTTTCCAGCAGATATCGCCGAGGAAGCACCAGCACACCTGGGGCTGGCTGGCAGCGAGACCGCAGGTCAGATGGGCTGTGCTCTTTGGAGTTTCCTTGCGGGTGAGAAAGGTTTTCCTAATACCTAACCTAAACTCCCCTTGCTGCAACTTGAGTCCACTGCTCCTTGTCATCTGCCCCCACTGAGACCAGTTTGCATCATGATGGCAATGGACCAGAGACGGGGGCTGGCCCTGGCACCCTGGGAGCAAGTCCCCGCCGGCCGCAGCACCTGGTGCTCTCTTTGAAGGAGGTTGCTGCCGGCTGCGTCGCATCAGATCTGCCTCACTGAAACGCATGGCACAGAGCTGCACCCTCGAAGAGCCCTCTGTTAGGAAACGGGCAGGGACTCGGTCATGCTGGTCTCGGGCTGCATGTTCCAGGGTTGGAGGAAGCGCAGATCTTCCTCGACTACCCCACAGCATGGATGCATGTCTGTACATTGCCACACACACGTGCACATCGTGGCTTGAACCTGGCAGCTGGCTGCACTCAAAGCTTATCAGCACAAGAAACCTGTAAGCATTAATATCCCAGTACGGTAGATGCACTGGTTTTACTGGTATTCTTATACCACCTGGGGCATATTTATAAGGCTGTAACTGCATCTGCTTGAAGGCGCAGACTGGTAAGTGGCACAATCCCCCCCCACCTTAGCTGACATCCTTCTCCCCATACCCAGTGCATCGGTAGCCCAGGCCTCAGGCGCTCCTCATTTTTTCCTGCATGGATGAATACCAAAAATGACCCCTATCTCATTCCTGAAATGGCTAAATAAACAAATAGCTCAACAAAGAGGCCTCCGTCCTGCTGCCCCAGTGCTTTCCCATCTCATTAGGCTCAATTAGGCCCTTGCCTTTGTAGGAGCAAATGAGTGTAGGCAAAAAATAAAGCCCAACCTGCCTCTGAATGGGAGCATTTGCCACGGAGGCAGAAAGACGGTGCTCCGGGAGACTGCACGGTGGTCTCGGGGCGGCCAGCCGGACGGCACAGAGATGAGATTGCCGCGGCCAGACAGACTCTCCTCTATTGCTGCGCTTTCCCGTGCTGCCAAAGCCAAGCACGGCGGCTTATGGGGAAAGCATCCCCGTTTCACACTGCTTGGACATGCAAAGCCAACAGGGCACCGTGTCTCTGGTCATTAGCGGGTCCTCTGTGATGGTAGCACCTGTTTTTGTTGCATTGAACTTTTCCCAGGCCCTCTCCTAGCCGTACAGATTGTCCCCCCTGCAAGCCCCATCCCTCCCTCCCAGCAGGGAGGAAGGAAGCGAGGAGTTGCTCTGAGCCCCAGCGCATGTGGGATGCCCGGGGGTCACCGTCCCTGCAGGGAGGGGAAGGGTCTGCTCTCCAGAGGAGCTGAGTACCCACGCCTCACCTGCAACAGCTTCGTAGAGGTCGGCTTGGTAGTCCAAGAACTCGTGCTCCGCGAAGCGCTGCGGCCCCTCGCACAGGACGCGGCACTCCTCGTCGGCCGTGTAATACTCCCCCAGGGCTCGTTCCAGCTGCTCGATGGCTGGCCCGTACTCTTCCCTCTCGTAGTGCTTCACCCCCGCGCTGTAGGCCTCCTGCAAAGAAGCCAAGCAGGCCCTTGAGGCGGCAGGACAGCAGTCCTGGAGCACACGTGCATGGACCCAGGCAATGGGGGAAGGCAATAAATCAATGCCCAGGCTGCTGGGGTTTCCTGAACAGCCCTCACCCCTTTTTTGCCGTGCTGGAAGTGTCACGACATTCCTCCTCCTCCTCCCAGACACCCCGATCCCAGAAGCACAACACTTAACACATGCAAGACATGGCTGGAGAGGGACCCTTTCAAGGGATGCTTAGGACAGTGATCACACCCAGTGCTATCAGGCGATCCCCAAAAAGAACAGTGGTCATGGGTCATGACTCAGTTTCCCTGCTCTCTTTTCAACCGGCCAAGAGATTATCTTGGAGGTTAGATGACCATCTTGCTGGGGTCGTTTGAGGAGGTTAGATGACCATCTTGCTGGGGTCGTTTGACCCCAGTACTCTTTCCTGCCATGGCAGGGGGTCAGACTAGATGATCTGCCCAGGTCCCCTCCGACCCTAGATACTATGAAACTATGAAACTATCTCAGAGAAATGGGTGAGAAGACAGAAATCTGAACCTGAACTGTATTCATCTCTGCCACACAAAGGCAAAGGGATGTTTCAAACCATCAGGGTGGGTATTGAGGACCCTGAGACCTCGCCACCCTGTAGTGACCAGGTTTCTGTATTCTCTGCAATATATTGTAATGTTGCCTGATGAATAACATCCCGATAAACTGGGGTATAGTTCAGATGAATTTGCTTTGGCTTCTCTTGTACTTCTCCAGATAAAATCAAGGCCCCCAGAGTCATCCTGGGTGCAGCAAGGTGGCACTGGGAATAGTGTGAGGTCCTACCGCTTTGGATGCGGCTCATCACCCTGATGCCATGTTGCAGCCTCTCCCAGCATCTCGCCTAGGTGAGGTGGCTGGGTAGGGGAGACAACCCTGCACCCTGGCAATCCCTTGCTGCAAGAACAGTACCTGAGGCTGCTGTTGCACACCCCAGGGTCATGCCGGTGGGGCTGAATGAAGCCCTCTTATGCCCACCCTACTGCAGGTGTGCCACATGCAGCTCTTCCAGACTGGAGAATTTGGCCTCAAATAAGTGTGCACAAGCCAGGACGTGTAAATCAGCTTGTGCAATGTGTGAATGAAGCAATCTATCATGCCAGACCACTGAAAGCAATGAGCAAGGGAGGGAGGAGCTCCCCAAAGAGGGAGGGACCAGCACAGGACACAGGATGGAGGATGCCTGGACCACCGTATTCATTCATATACCACACGCCTCCAAATCAGGCACGCGCCATGTTTGGAGAAGGCAGAAACAAGGAAAAAAGATAGATTTTCCCCTTTAACCTAAGAGTCAGCCTCCTTGTTTAAGACCCAGACCCCAATATAATATAATTTTAAGGGGAAACATGAGCATGGTATGCAAGTAAATAAGGTAATGGGGCATGTGGGGTTAGCTCGGTGCAAATTCAACTGATCGCAGCCCCGTACCTTTCTGATTTGCCCCAACCCCAGTCTGGCTGACACTTGCCCTTCTTGCCAGCCTGGCAGGGAGAGCCGGTTTCCCAAACTCACCATGTGTGGCCTGGCCTCTCGGTCAACCAGAGTGGCCTTCCCGGCCATGGTCTTGTAGTTCTCGATGTCCTGCTGCATTTCCAGGTGCTCGGGGTTCGCCAGGAAGAAGGTGTGAGCTGCATCTGCTGCCTCCTCCAGCTTGTTCAGCTAGAACGAGAGAAAAAGCACCCGGCGGTCAGTGCCCCGTGACATAGCCCAGAAACAAGTCCTGCTCCTGGTCACTCCTGACCCGAATGTTGAATGAGGGGTAGATCCCATCTTTCCATGTCACGCCAGGCAGGAGTTTCTAGCATGACGTGGCTCTCATGCTTGTGTGCAAAGGGAAACGCCCGGGTAACATGATGGAGAAGCGTGCCAGCCCTCCCGACAGACAGACCACAAAGCCTCGTCAGCTCTCCAAAGATGTTACTCATCCATGAGAGAGCAGCAGCCCATCATGGACCACAGCCAGCACCAAGACGAAAGCAGGGAGCTCCAGCACAGCATCCTGGGGGGGTCCTGAGCACGAACCGCCCACCACTTGCACAGACTCCGGCAGGGAACGGGACGGGAAGTCACATCAACTTCTTTGCTTTGGTCCTGTCTGCTGGCCATGGCTCAGCTTCCCAGACCAGCCAGCCAGCACGGGGAGCATCGTGCATCCCTGGTCTATGCTCCGGCCGGTGATGTTGGTCAAGGGGAAGCATTGTGACTTGACCCAGCCAGAGCAGGGCTCCGGGATGGCAGAGTCACCGCACCGGGTCAGACGAAAGGTCGGTCTAGCCCAGCAGCCTGTCTCTGGCAGTGGCAAGCAGCAGATGCTTTAGAGGAAGGGTATTATATGAGACAAGGTGTGTATAGGGGCCTTGCTACACGTTCCAATTAAAGCTGGATACACGCTGGCTATAGGGTCAAGATACAAGAACGAACTTTACAGCTGCTTGGCTCTTTTTGTAGCTGGACAGTCATTTTTATCGCATGGTAATAATCACTGTGCATGTGTGGCCGGTTTAAATTTATTGCACAGTTCACCAGTTAATATGTCATGTGTAGCAGGCACCTAGGACTAACCTCTCCTCTGTCACATCCTAGGGAAATGGTGCTCCGTCACTTCCTAGGGAAGTGGTCTTTGCTCCTACCTTGGGTAAATTCAAAAAGAGGTTGGATGAACACCTGTCTGGGGTTGTGTGATCCCAGCATGTGCTCCAACCAGTGGTGGGGGCTCAGACTAGATGATCTATTCAGGTCCCTTCTGACCTCTAACTACTATGAAACTATGAAACATCCCTCCACTGTCAGACATCATAGGTTCAGGGACGGCCTGAGTCTGAGGTTACATCCCTGTTGCGTTTTGCAGTTCCCGTTGGATCTGTCCCCCATAAATCTACCCAATCCCTGTCTGTATCCAGGTTATGCTATGGGCCTGCATCACATCCACCTTGATTTAGGCGACAGGCCATGCATTATAGCAAGGCTCAATGCATGGGACTGATGTATGACGAAGCAGCAGATGTGAAATGATTAATCCGTGGTTAGTGTCCAAACGGCTGATATGTTGCCTACTGCATGGCTTACAATGGCTTCACAGCCATGGCTAGGGCACACCGCTCATGCCCAGTACATCTGCTCAGCATTTATAAATGCCTAGCAAACTGTTTCAAGCTGGAGCCTCCGTAATGGAGAAGGAACAAGCTGCATGGCTAGAAACAGCGCGCTGCCCTGGGGCAGAGATGGTCGGGAGGAGATGCCCTGAGTAGTGGAAGGCACGGCGATCCCCCCGAGTATCCTGCTTCCTCCTTGCTAGGGAGCTACTACTCTTCGATGAAAGCTTGCGAGGCTGCAGCTGCAAAATGCAAATGGAAAATGGGGCTCCGGCTTGCCGACCCCACGTGTGTCCGCGCCAGCGGGGAACCTGACATGCTGTCACACAGAAACAGACCCCATCCTACCCACGGGTAAGTGACAGAGGGCGCCACACTACCAAGAAACATGTGGTCCTGAGAGCCTGGGTCTTGTTACACGGTAAGTTTAGGCTTCTGGAGCTCTTACCACTTGGATTGCCCTCAAGTTAATACCTTGCTTTAAGTGGCTTAAAGCACTTGTTATTCAGCTTAAAGTTACGCCACTCCAGGGCAGGATTATCTCTGATCTGCCTAATTTTGCTCCTGTTCCATTCAGGTGTGGCCACTCTCCACAGCTATTTCACCCAAGATGAAGTCCTCCAGCATCCCAGAATGCAGTGGCCCATCCTATGTCAGGAAAGAGCCCTTTGGCTTGCAGACCAGTCCTGTTCAGTGCAGATACTACTTCTGTATCTCTGGCCACCCAGAAGCTACCACAAGTCCCCCTGAGGACAGTGCCTTCTCTCTGAGGATGCCACTGGGTGTGAAGGGACAACTGCAGCTTATGGGCTTGGGGCAGGGATCCAAACTGACCCCTGACACGGGACAACCTTGGGGAAGGCAGTATGAGTTGGCCTGCACTAATTTTTACTACCCGAAGAAGGGCAAACTGGTCTTGAGGCCAGGTAGTTAGCAAAGGCAGAGCTATCCTGCCTCTGAGGCCTCCTGGCTCCAGAGAGGGCATGTGGTTACAGAAGGAGCATTGCAAAGAGGCACTATTTCCATGACCTGTGCTGCCTTGGGCAGGAGCAACCTAGAGCTGGACAGAAGCAGCAGCCTTGCATTCAACCAGCCTGGAAGGATTTCTCCAGAAGCAACAGGTTCAGACCGAGTCCCTGCAAACCTGTTCTCATTCATTAATTGGAGCAGGCTGCCAGGGGCTCCAAAAACAGGCCAGGCATTCAAGCGGCCTGGCGACAACCCCTCTAGCATGGGGGGTCTGGTTCACCAGGGTTTGGGAAAGCACAAGGCTGGCTCAAGAGGAATATTTATCTTGCAAGGTAATGTTCCCTGATGGCTTCGTGGGAACAAATCTTGGCTGCAAAGAAAGGACCGGGTGCCATCCGCGGCCCTGTGCTCAAACCTTGCAAGCGACAAAAACCCATTAAGAAAGTACAGCCCTGGGTTTCCTCTGGAGCTTGCTAAGGGCATTAGGAGGTGAAGCTAGCTTCTGCGCACATTTATTTGCCAGCAAACAAGCTCGCTAGCGAGGGGAGTCTAACCCAAGAGCAGCGGGGCGGGGGCGCGCGCTACGAAGCACATCAGGACACTCGGATGGCGGGTAGAAAATCCTTAAAGGACTGCACTCCTCTTTCATCTGCACTGTAGGAATATTTAGATTAGAGTCAATGCAAACACAGCTCGGGGAGCTAACAAGGGGGTTACAGTGTGGCGTGCTGGGGGAGTGTGGAAACATCTCTGGCGCTGTCAGGATTTATTGGCTGAGATTTATATTGATGCCTGAGTGATTTGAACATCAATCCCTTAATGAGACTGGGCATCCAAGTCCTCTAGGTGGTTTCCAAAAACTCTACGCCCTCATTTGAGAAAATATAGTGATGCTTTTGTATCGATCGCGGTGGCAAGCAGATGCTGCCCGCAAGAGCAAAATCATATCGACCTACTTAAATGGCCTCACTTATGGCAGTAATTGAGCCCCTTTCCATTGCAGAAAATTTGGAAAAACAACAGTTTCTTTCTTCCTTTCTCCCAGCCTTCAGGCGAGGGAGCTGGGGGAGCTCAGAGTTTTGTCTACATGTTTGCCTTCGTGGGGAAGATGTAACGCAGGACTGCAGAAGAGTTGGGATAGCAGGACTGTTCCTGATCAAACCATCCCATTCAAATGTCTGTCCAACCTGCTGTGAAAAGTTTCCAGGCATGGAGATGTATCCCAGGAGCAATGGGCTCAAGTTGCAGCAAGGGAAGTTGAGATTGGATATTAGGAAAAACTTTCTCAGTGAAGCACTGGAGCAGGTTACCCAGAGAGGTGGTGCAGTCTTCATCCTTGGAGGTGTTTAAGACCCAGGTAGACAAAGCCTTGGCTGAGATGATGCAGTTGGGGCTGGTCCTGCTTGGAGCAGGGGTTGGACTAGATGTGACCCCCTGAGGTCTCTTCCAACCCTGATTTTCTATGACTCCATAGCCTCCCTGGGCTGAACCACACTCCTACTTACAAAGCTCTTCCCCATAGCCTCCCTTGCTGCAGTATAACACCCTTTCTCCTTGGCAGCGAGTTTCCCTTCCAGATATTTCACAGGGGCTTGGACAAAACTGGAAAAACCCTCCTGACAGGTCAGAGGAAGATGATGGGAGGCAACTCTGGAGATGCCATCCCTGGGCTCTGTCGGTCATACTGTGCTCAGTGAGAAAACAGCCTGAATCCTGCTCTCGTTGGCACCCAGGCATGGACTGGGGACTGACACCCACTGACATTTCCACCCGCCTAGTCAGAGGCTACCCAACAGACCCAAACTCCAAACCGAAGGGTTTGATTCAATCACCCCATCTCAGCCCAAATCCACCCTGAGAAGCAGCACTTTCCAACACCCGTGAAAAGACCATGCAAACTCCAGCCCAATGGCACTGCAGAACAGGATCCTGCTTTGCTTTTTCAACAGCAAAATCCCCCAGGCCAAGCGATGCCCGCACGGCATTCAGAGCATCCCCTAGTGCAAACCTTTTCGCTCCATAACGTGAGGCTGGGCAGGCAGCCACGACTCTCCCTGCAAAAACCAGAGCTCTCCCATTTACTTCTCTAGTCTACATGGAAGTAACAGCTTGGCTTTCTGCTGACGCACCGACCCCCAGCTCTGTCTTGCAACTTAGGTGGCTCAGTCAGTCCCCCTTGGCCTGGTTTAGAGAAGCCCGAGTGATTTTCATACACATTTGGGACTAGAAGGGACCTCGCGAGATCATCAGGCTGAGCTCCTGGCCCAAGGGGTGGGAAGTCAGCTGGGGTAAAATCACCCCAGCAAGATAAGCATCCCAAACCATCATCCATGAGCATTTGCACAAGGTCCTGCCTGTTCATGGGTCCTGCTTTAAAAGGCACTACAGCAATGGCTTGAAGTTGCAGCCAAGTAGATTTAGATTGGATCTCAGCAAAAACTTCTTGGCTGTTAGAGCAAGGAGGCGAGGGAAATAGATGTACAGGGATGCTGTGGACTCTCCATCACTGGACATATTCAAGAAGAGGTGGGACAGCCACTGGCTGGGGATGATCTAGGCGTAACAATGCCTATTTTTTACTATGGGATCTTCCCATGC